TTAGTATGATAATCTCTAGATCCATCCATATTGCTGCGGATGGCATTATTTCTTTTTATAGTTGAGTAGCATTCCGTTGTGTATATATAGGCAAAATTACTGGAGTGGGTTGCCATTCCCTTCTCCAGGGGATCTTCCCAACCCAGGGGTCTAACCCAGGTCTGCATTTGTAGATAGATTCTTTACCATCTGAGCCACCAGGTAAGCGTGTGTGTGTGTGTGTGTGTGTGTGTGTGTGTGTGTGTGTGTGTGTGTGTGTGTGTGTGTGTGTGTGTGTGTGTGTGTGTGTGTGTGTGTGTGTGTGTGTGTGTGTACACACCACATTTTCTTTATTCATTCCTCTGCGTGTGTGTGTGTGTGTGTACACACCACATTTTCTTTATTCATTCCTCTGTGTGTGTGTGTGTGTACACACCACATTTTCTTTATTCATTCCTCTGCGTGTGTGTGTGTGTGTGTGTGTGTGTACACACCACATTTTCTTTATTCATTCCTCTGCGTGTGTGTGTGTGTGTGTGTGTGTGTACACACCACATTTTCTTTATTCATTCCTCTGCGTGTGTGTGTGTGTGTGTGTGTGTGTGTGTGTGTACACACCACATTTTCTTTATTCATTCCTCTGTTGATGGACATTTAGGTTGTTTCCACGTCCTGGTTATTATAAAGAGTGCTGCAGTGAACACTGGGATGGTGCATGTATTGTTTCAAATGATGATTTTCTCCAGATATATACCCAGGAGTGGGATTGCAGGATCATATGGTAACTCTATTCTTAGTTTTTTTAAGGACCCTTCATTATGTTCTCCATAATGGCTGCACCAATTTCCATTCCCACCAACGCTGTAGGAGAGTTCCTTTTCCTCCACACCCTCTCCAGCATTTATTATTTATAGACTTTTTGATGATGGTCATTCTGACCAGTGTGAGGTGATACCTCATTGTAATTTTGATCTGCATTTCTGTATTAGCAGTGTCTAGCATCTTTCTCTGTGCCTTTTGGCCATCTGTATGTCTTCTTTAGAGGAATGTCTATTTAGATCTTCTGCCCATTTTTTGATTGGGCCACTTGTTTTTTTATATTGAGCTGTATGAGCTGTTTGTATTAATATATTTTGGAGATTAATACCTTGTTGGTCACATCATGTACAAATATCTTCTCCAATTCAATAGGTTGTTTGTGGTTTCCTTTGCTGTGCAAATGCTTTTGAGTTTAATTAGGTCCCATTTGTTTTCTGTTTGTTGGTTGGTTTGTTTTTATTTCCATCCCTCTAGGAGACAGATCCAAAAAGAGATTGGTACGATTTATGTCAAAGAGTGTTCTGCCTAGGTTTTCCTCTCAGAGTTTTATAGTATCTTGTGTTCACATTTAGGTCTTTAATCCACTTTGAGTTTATTTTTTGTGTATGATGTTAGAGAATGTTCTAATTGTATTCTTTTACATGTAGCTGTCCAGTTTTCCCAGCACCACTTATTGAAGAGACTGTCTTTTCTCTATTGTATGTTCTTTTTTCCTTTGTTGTTGATTAATTGACCATAATTGTGTGGGTTTGTTTCTAGGCTTCCTATCCTGTTCCATTGATCTGTATTTCTGTTTTTATGCCAGTACCATACTGTTTTAATTACTGTAGCTTTGTGGTGTAGCCTGAAGTCAAGGAGTCTGATTCCTCCAGCTTCATTTTTCTTTCTCAAGGTTGTTTTGGCTATTCAGAGTCTTCGTGTTTCCATACAAATTAGAAAAATTTTTTTGTTCTAGTGCTGTGAAAAATTCCCTTGGCAATTTGATAGGGATTGCATTGAATCTGTAGACTTTCTTGAGTAATATCGTCATTTAACAATATTGATCCTTCCAAGAATGTGGTGTAGCTTTCCATCTATCTGTGTCATCTTCCATTTTTCATCAGCATCTTACAGTTTTTGGACTCTAGATCTTTTGTCTCCTTAGGTGGGTTTATTCCTAGGTATTTTATTCTTTTTTGATACAATGGTAGATAGGATTTTTCTTAATTTCTCTTGCTGATATTTCATTTTTAGTATACAGAAATGGAACAGATTTCTGCATGTAAATTTTGTACCCTGCAACTTTACTGAATTCATTGATGAGCTCTAGTAGTCTTCTGTTAGTGTCTTTAGGATTTTCTATTAGTATGTATAGTATCATGTCATCAAAATAGTGACAGCTTTACTTCTTTTTTTCCAATTTGGATTCCCTTTCTTTTTATTCTCTGATTAATTACCATGCCTCAGACTTCCAAAACTATGTTGAATAAAAGTGGCGAGAGTGGACATCCTTGTCTTATTCCTGATTTTAGAGGAAATGCTTTCAGCTTTTCACCATTGAATATGATGTTTTAATAACTGTGGGTTTGTCATACATGTCCTTTATTTTATTGACAGTAGGTTCCCTTTATGCCCACTTTCTGGAAAATTTTTACCGTAAATCAATATTGAATTTTATCAAAAGCTTTTTCTGCATCTGTTGAGATGATCATATGGATTTTACTCTTCAGTTTGTTAATGTGATGTATCACATTGATTGATTTACAGTCTTTTTTTAAATGGCATTATTTAAAAGATATTTATTTCCCGGAATAAACCCACTTGATCATGGTATATGATCCTTTTAATGTATTGTTGGATTCAGTTTACTAGTAGTTTGTTGAGGATTTTTGCATCAATGGTCATCAGTGATATTAGCCTGTAATTTTTTTGTGGTATTTTTGTCTGATTTAGGTACAAGGATGATGGTGGCTTCATAGAACGAGTTTGGGAGTGTTCTCTCTTCTGCAATATTTTGGAATAGTTTGAGAAGGACAGGTATCAACCCTTCTCTCAGTGTGTGATAGAATTCACCTGTGAAGCCATCTGATCCTGAACTTCTGTTTGTTGGGAGTTTTATAATCAGAGATTCAATTTCAGTGCTTGTAGTTGGTCTGTTCAGATTTTCTTCCTGACTCAGTCTTGGGAGATGTATCTTTCTAAGAATTTGTCCTTTTCTTCTAGGCTGTCCGATTTTATTGGCATAGAGTTGCCTGTAGTGGCCGCTCATGGTCCTTTGTATTTCTACGGTGTCCCCTTGTAACTTCTCCTTTTTCGTTTCTGATTTTATTGATTTGGACCCTCTGCCTTTTTTTTCCATGATGATTCTGGCTGAAGGTTTATCCATTTTGCTTTTTTTTCCCCCCAAAGAACCAGATCTTAGTTTAATTGAAGATTTCATGTTTTTTTTATGGCTGAGGAATATTCTATGTATGTACCACATTTTCTTTATCCATTCATCCATCGATGGACACTTAGGTCTTTTCTGTATCTTGACTTGTGAATAATGCTACAGTAAACACAGGGTTCCCTTTTCTCCACATCGTCACCCACACTTGTTATTTCTTAATAACAAGAAATTATTAAGGAGATGAGCTCACTGAGGTTCAGAGGCAAAAAGATCTAGTTGAGGTCACCCTGCAGAGTCAAGCCCTTCCCTCCCCACTCCTTCTGCTTGCGGGGAGCAGAGTCCCGTCACTGCTGTCCCCTGGCCCCTGTGGCTGCTCACCTCTGCCACTCACACCAGACGGCTGGGCCCGCCCGGACCTCGCCCCCGCACCCCGCGCCAGCCGCCCCTCTGTGCAGGTCAGTCTGTGGGCCCTCAGCAGGCGGCCGAGGACGCAGTGCTGGCTGCCTCGTTCTCCCCACCCTTTCCCCCAGGAGGAAGAGTCTTCTGCTCCCCCTCATTCCCAAGTGGCCCCCAAAGCCCCTCAGCTGTGCTCCCTCAGCTCTGCACGGCCCCCGGAAGGACCTTGTAGCCGCAGGCCACTCACTTTGGGGCTCGGGGCCATTTGGAGCCCACAGCTGCGGCACCTTACTGGGTGGGCACCCAGTGCTCACCCCCCAACCCTTGCTGGGACGGTTCCACGTCATCCTGCTGGCTCCCCCAGCTGAGTCCCTGCGAGGGCAGCTTCAGGCAGAGGCTGAGTTCAGCCAGGTGGTTGGACTCTGCTCTGCTTTATGTAAGGAAGCCCTTTCTTAATGGCAATTCTAGTGCTGAAAGGTTTTTTAAAATATTATTTTAAATGTTTAATGACCACTGATCTAAGCAACTCATTCCTAAGACCCAGGGTCCCGCGTGGTTGTCCCCCGTGGTGTCCAGGCCCTTCTCACGGCCCGCTCCCAGTCCCACAGCCTGCAGGCCTGTCTGCCCGGCGGACGCTCCCCACCTGCACCCCCTCTTCTTGCCTGGCATACCTGCCCCACATTCGGGTGTAGAAATCCCCCTTGGCCTTCAGGGTGAACCACAGGTGTCTCCCCTTCTCTGAATTTCCACCAGACTCGGAGCCCACCGTCTATCATTTCCATGACCCGGGTCAGGTGGGTAGGCTTGGGTCTCCAGAGTGAGAACTGAGCCCAGGTTCAGGCCAGCAGCGGGGCAGGCCGGGCCCAGGTCCACTCCGCTGGTCCCGCCCTGGCCCAGGCTCTCATCGCTTCCTGCAAACGGGTCCTGGGAGCCCAGGGAGGAAGGCACGGGGGCGTGGGCGGCGCCCCTCCCCTGTGGCTCAGATAGCAGTGAGCAGCGCCGCAGGCCCTGGGGGGCTCCCCAAGCCTGCAGGCTGCAGCCTGCCTGCCCGGCCAGGGCTGGGGTGGGGCCCAGGGCCATCCCCCGCCATCCATGAGACTCCTCCCGCAGCGGGAGCAGGGGGCACCATCTGCCGGGTGGCGGGAGGGCGCGGCACTCAGCCTGGGACGCAAGCTGCTGCTGAGGGCTCGCATCGCCGGGGGAGGGGTGTGCAAGGGTCCAGTCGTCAGAAACGAGCCAGCCACCACCCAGCACCAGAGGTGTGCCCCCTCCCCCGCGCACACACGTGCACAGCCCACGCCTGCGGCACGTGGGCACGTGCCGAGGGCAGCCCTCCGGCGTCCTCGGGGCCTCCACCCGGCTCGTCCGCGGCCGTGGGCTGGTTCTCTCCGGTGTCCCCTGCCCTGACTGCGCTTCTCTTCCCCCCAACCTCCCGCAGTATGAGTACAGCTTCCGCACGGAGCAGAGTGCCGCCGCCAGGCTCCCGCCCAGCCCCACCCGATGCCAGCAGATCCCCCAGTCCTGAGAGAGACGACACAGCGCCCGGACTACTGAGCGCCCCCTCGCCCGGCCCCTCCCGCCGCCCATCCACACTGCCCTGCTCGGCGCTCCTGGGAGACTGGGCAGCTGAGCTGTTGCCTCCTCGGTCATCAGTCATCAGCTTGCCCGACGTGATGCCGCCCCCCACCCCGGGGATGCGCTTCCTTAATCTCCACTAACCTGTGTGTGCTGTAGTGACCAGCGGCTCCTCCCGCATCTGTGTGATGACCAGTAGTCCTCCGACCACCCCTTCCCTCCACGGGAGCCATCTGAGGGCCCTGGACAGTCGTCTGGCCGCCCGGTGATGCCACCGGCTCCCTGCCCTCCTGACTCTGCCACCACGAAGCTACTGCCTCCTCCCGGAAGACCCTGAGGGGCTGGTGGCCGGGCACAGGGCACCCACCCCCGCCTCCCCCAGCACTGATGGATCGCCCCCTGGAACAGGTCTCTCACACCAGGGGCATCGAGTGCCCAAGAACTTCACAGGGACCCTAAGGAAACACGGAGCACGCGGCCGGTGCTGCCCGAGTGGACCTGGGCCTGGCTCGCTGCCCGCCGTGGATACCCCCTGACTCACCCCTCAGCTCACACACTGGACGCCCTGAGGATGGGGGCCAGCCATCCCCGAGCCACTGGCCCAGAGAGGCCTTGCCTCCCGGGCGAGGTGGCCGAGTGGCTGGGTGCTCGCGTTGGACGTGAACTTTGCCGCCAGGTCCCTGTGCTCAGCCTCCTCACCATCATCCCCACAAAGGGCTCATCTCTGCAGTGCTCACGTGCCAACAACAGCTCCACTGCCCGGCCCCGCGCCCCAACCATCATCACGTGGGCAAAGAGGCTCTGTGAGCCGGTGCCCAAGGCCGTGGACACACCGTCGCCAGACTGAAGCCAGAACTGACCTTTCTGCCACGAGTACCAGTGACTGTGCTATCACTCCCCACAGTGCTGGCCGCCCAGCCCAGCTCCCCACCCGGGCACCGGGGCCGCTGTCCTCCCTGGAGGCCCGGGCCTCCCCTGGTGGCTGCCTTGTCTGGCCGTGGGACTCTGTCCTAAATTCCCAGAACCTGGTATCTCATACCTTGGAGGTGGGGAGCGGGGGTCACCAGATAGTTGGAGTATTGGACATGAGCTTTGACACGTGTCTGGCGTAAGAAAGCAGCCTAGGAGAGGCCCTGCCCAGCTGGGGACAGTGCCCCCGCTCCCTGCAGTTCTTCAAAGACACCGGGGTGGCTGGGGTGCAGTCAGGAGGGGCAGCCTCTGGCTGAGACACGGGGCCAGGGCAAGACATACCTCACTCAGCCGGCCTCAGCTCCACCATCTCCAGACCCTCCGCCTTCCCCCGCGGCTGCCCCTTGATCTTTTCATTCCAATACCTCTCCTCTCTGTCCCCGAGACCTGAGGATGTCCTGGCAGGGCCGGCCTTCCTTGGAACCCTCCAGGGCCCAGGAGGCACAGGTGGAAATTCCTCAGGCAGACCTTTGAGATGGGTGCTCGCCCAGGACCGAGCTGATGACATGGCCTCAGATGTACCCACTGAAATGAGCTGGTTGTTCCTGGGAGTCAGCGGGGGTGGTGGGGGGAGCCCTGAGGGGCCCAGAGAACCTGCGTTTGCTGCTGCGTCTGCTGCTGCTGCCAGGATGGTGGAGCTGGTCCAAAACCAAGAGCTGGTCCCTGTGCTCACGTCTGTCTGGCCACATTGGCTCCATCCTTCTCTCTCTCCTCACACCCCGGCCGTGGGGTCGTCCCACCAGGTAACACCCGCGGCCTTCCTCCGCTGAGAAGCAGGCGTTTCGGCTCCATGGGCCCGAGGAGGTCCAGAGACGGTCACGTGAGATTCCCTGTCAGGGAGCAAGAGGGCCGTGGTGGGGTCCCCTCCCCAACCCCTCACCAGCCGCGCCCCCACCAGCCCCCGGCCACCCCCGGGCCAGGCAGAGCGGGGCAGACCCAGGGCCGCCAGGAGAGGGCAGACCTGCGTGGGCTCGGCCAGCTGGCCAGGCCTCCCCCAGCAGGCAGCCTCAGCGCAGAGTCTAACAAGTGACGGTGGACGGCGCCATGACGGCAGCTGAAGAGAACGCAGCAACAGTGTTGGAGAAGCCGGCGGCTCTTAGGCGGCTCCTGACCTCTTGTCTCTTTCCTTCTGAGGCGGGGTGCCCTCCCGCCCCGCGCGGAGGTGAAGCTCGCTCCCCGGGAACCGAGCCCCCTCTTCCCCCTTCCTTTCTGGGACGGTGCTTTTCTCCACGAACCCTCTGGCCACGAGGGGCGGGGAGGCAGGGCTTCTCTCAGAAACACGAAGGGCAGTGGCCTCCACCCTTCCCAGAAGGACTCCCCAGAGCACAGCATCCCCCACTGCCACCTCCTCCGTCCCCCCAAAATTCTAAGCCTGTCTCCACAGGCCTAGAAAACGGCACAATGGCGGTAAGGAGCAAGCAGCCGGCCCCAGGTTCACTTGTAAATTTATAACAAGGTTTATCCACCACCCCCGAGTCCAGAAACTGACTCTGGCCACGACCTCCCCTCAGAGGGATGGTCAGGACGGTGGGAGGCGAGGACCAACATGTCTGAAGCACCTACTCCTTGCCGGGCACGCAGCCGGCACTTGAAGCACATTTTCTTCTGTTGCTCCCACTCCCTCCCCCCCCCAAAAAAAAACACACCAATACCCCGAAGCGGATGCTGGTTTCAGATGAAGATGCTGAGACGTGTCCGCAGGCACAGAGCCGGCAAGCGGCAGAGGCGGCCCGGGCCCCACTCTGTCCCGTCATGAGCACCTGCCTCCAGGCCAGTAACGGGCCTGCGGGTGTGACAGTGTCTCACCGAGCCCGGGGCAAGGCCGGGTCCAGTCCCCAGGGCTGCGGGCTGCCCCTCACCGTCCACAGTGATCCCAGCCCGCAGCTCCCTGGAGCCGGCCAGTGGGCCTGAAGGTGAGCGTGAAAACCGAGCTCACCTCCCCAGGGCCTGGAGGGGCCGGGCGCCCTCCCGCTCCCACCGCAGCTGCCCGCCCCCCACGGGGCGGCTGGCCGTCCTCACCTGTTGGACCCTGCCAGCCCGGCCTGTCACCGCCAGGAACCAGGCCCCGGGCAGGCGGCCGGCTGCGCTAGGTTAGGAACAACGTTGTACTGCGTGTATTTATTTGAGGTGATTCTAGTACTTGGCAAAGGGAAGTTTCACTGTGTGATTGTCTTCTTAATATAATTTGTTAAATAAACGTTTGTTTTAACCTTTTCCCTGCTCGCTGCTGTCTCTGAGGCATGGAGACCGGGTTCCCTCCAGCTCATTCCAGATGCTGGCCGGGCCGGCACCACCCTGGCCTTCCAGCCTTCCAGAAAGAGCTGGTGGGTTTCCTTGCCCCGTTTGGATGAGCCGGTGACAAACCAGAAGGAGCAGCAGTCCTCAGGAATGCTCCTGGAGGGAGAAAAATGCCGGTTTCCATAAAAGCATGTGAAGTGCATGTGTATTAATGTGTCTCCAGCAAGGAATGCAGAGGGCGCTTTCATCTCCAGCTCGCCCCGAGCCTTGTCTGTGCTGGGGCGAGGCCGTCTGGCTGCCGGAGCGGGGGCCATGCAACCACACGGCTTCAGTACCACTGGTTTTGTCCTGTCCCCTCACTCACCTGTTGGCAAGATGCTGCCCCAAACGCCCGGGGCGGGGCTGCCAGCCCCAGACACGCACGGGCTCTCTTATGGGACACGACTGGTCAGGTTACACCGTCAGAGCTCTTTGCCTCCTTTATAAAGTGACCTTAGTGGCTCAGAATCTGCCTGCAATGTAGTTCGATCCCTGAGGTCGGGAAAGATCCCCCGGAGAAGGGAATGGCAACCCACTCCAGTGTTCTTGCCTGGGAAATCCCATAGAGGAGTCTGATGGGCTACAGTTCGTGGGGTCGCAAAGGGTCAGACGCGACTGAGCAACTAACACACTTACTTGTGCATTTTGGGGCCAGACACCTGGGTCTGAGCCATCTCCACCTCCAGGCCTATTAACACCAGGCTTGGGTGACCCTTAGCTGTCATCTCACTAGAACCGTGAAAATCCCCCAAAAGGTAATGGCATCTCCAGCCCAGGCCCCCATGTCCGGCATCCCCTCGGGTCTTTGTCCCACAGTGGGAGAGGGAGAACAGCCCAGAGAATTCCATGAGAAACCCATGAACCCATGACATGGAGTTTAGAGTTGACTTCAGATTCCAGCGCTGCCCCTTCCTGAGCACGTAGCTCATAGCACCTGTCTAAAGGGGCTGTGCCGCCCTAGGCAGCCTCCCCTGGGAGGACGGAATGAGGACGCTCGAAAGGGCAGTTAGCACGGAGACCGAGGGACCTGCCAGAGCTATCTTTGGGGCCTGGTTCTGTGTTGCCGCCCACCAGATGTGCCGGGTCCCTCCCAATGCTGCGTCTCCCAGGAAGTTCCAGGTGGTGGCCTTTGACACCCAGGACACAGAACCTGTTTCCAGGGGGGGGGCCTCCAGCATGGCTCAGGAGTGCCTCGGGAGAAGACTCTGGGCAGCAAGAAACTAAAGTCCACACACAACAACCTGGACCAAGGCGGGCTTTGTGGTCAGACCTGGAGACACTCGGAGCCCAAAGCAGGACGCAGCTGAGCCTCTGAGGGGCCAGAGCCAGGCGGCATCTCTCTGCCCTCTGTCTTGACACCTGCTTGCTTCTCGTCCTCTCACACCCTGGCCCTCCCTCTCGCCTGTTAGGTGCACCAGCATACTTGGCACATGCACGCTCACACGGCCCTCCAGGTTTCCACATTCTCAGTTCAGCAGACCCAGAGACAAGAGTCCCAGGACAGGCTGTGATTGGCTGCCTGGGTCAGGTGACCCCCTCCTGCTCCTGGCTGCTCTGGCCCTGGTGGGAGGGGGACTGTGTGACCCCAAAGTGCCTGGAACAGGTGTAGGTTTAGACCCTTGAGAAGCATCTGCTACGGAGCGGGGAAGACTGTGGGCAGAGGGGTGGGACACCTCCCCGGGGTGATGGAGGAGCCCTCCACCA